GCGAGCGAGCGAGAGAGAGCGAGCGAGAGCGAGCGAGAGAGAGCGAGCGAGAGAGCGAGCGAGCGAGCGAGAGAGCGAGCGAGCGAGACGAGAGAGAGAGAGCGAGCGAGAGAGCGAGCGAGCGAGAGAGCGAGAGAGAGCGAGCGAGCGAGAGAGAGAGCGAGCGAGCGAGCGAGCGAGCGAGCGAGCGACGAGCGAGACGAGCGAGAGCGAGACGAGCGAGCGAGAGAGCGAGCGAGCGAGCGAGCGAGCGATAGAGCTATCGAGCGAGCGATCGAGCGAGCTAGCGAGCTAGCGATCGAGCGAGCGAGCGAGATCGAGTCTAGAGCGATCTATCGATCTATCCTCGATCGATCGATCTAGAGCTATCGAGCGAGCTATCTATCTATCTATATCTATCATCTATCTATCTATCTATCGATCTATCTATCTATCTATCTATCGATCTATCTATCTATCTATCTATCTATCTATCTATCTATCGATATATATCTATCTATCTATCTATCTATCTATCTATCTATCTATCTACATTTAGTTTCAGTAAACTAACATTGCGTATACTTACCTCTTATTATCAGAAAATAACGTATTACGTGCTGTTGGCCGTACAAGGGCCGTGTAAGTATGTAATTGGAAGTAATTTTAATACATTTTATTATAACTTTTAAGTCGTATATTACCAAACGAAATTAATATTTTAATATTCTTTAAATATTCTATCTATTGTGGCATATTTAAGCTGTTTTTAAACATTACTCAGCTACTTAGACTGCTATAAACTTGTCCTCTTTCAGTGAAGTAAGTTTGAACCATTTTGTACACGTAAGCTTTCTTTTCCTCCTCTATGTTTTTTTGTCTTCTATCAATATTTATAAGTCTTTTTAATACTGCAAGTTAAAACGAAAAAAAAAAAAAAAAATATATATAAAAAATAGTGTATCGAATGTTGGGCCTCTTGTTTCTTTCACTTTCATATTTTTTGTGTAACATTTATCGTCATTATATTTATGAAGCAAAATGTTGTATTTGATGATGATGTTGACGATGATGTACCACATTTATTACTTACAAGTGTCCTTGTAACACATTTTTTTCTTTATTTCATTTGTACTAGAGAAAACAAACAAATATATTTCATTTTTTCTTGAGTTTTTTTCTTTTTTATTTATTTATATTTGTATGCGTTATTTTTATTGTTTTTTTCTGCTTTATCTTTTTTACATTTTGTTGTTGTGGATTCTTCTTTTCTTTTATCAGGGGTTTTTAGCTTTTTTCACGTTTTATACAAAGTAATTTTGTGTAATTTGTTTTTCTTTATTATTTTTTTGTTCTTGCTCTGTTTCTTTTAACAATAAATAATAATATTAATAAATATGTATGTAAGCAAGTGTTTTAACTTATATACTAAACTGGAGGGACATTTAATTTAATACAACTTAATTTATGGCTTTTGTTTATGTTATTTTTTTGTTTTATTCATTAATTTTGTTACATTTCATTGATTTAAATAATAGATTTTAATAAATAATTTTTTGTTGATTTCCTTTTGTTTCTGTACTTAACAAAGTGTTTTGTTTATGGTTAATTAACAATTTATTTGTATTTACAAAAGCATGTGAAAATTTATTACAATCGTTTGAAAATTTTACATTTATTTTCTTTCTTTTGTCCCCTAACATAAGTTGACGCGTATACTTAACTATTAATTGTAATGAAAAATTAAAATCAAGTATACGTACTGTTTACACATTTTCTCTAAATCAACTTTAAGGCAATGATAATAAATTAAACAAGATTACATTGAAATGAGTAAAATCAATACAAAAATAGTTGATCTTTTCTACGGTTTCATTTACATAAATATATTTTAAACAGAAAGAGCGCAGAAGAGGGCCATCTAGCTATAGTAATAAAAATATAAAGCCAATCAAAAGAGTCTTTGGATCTTGTTAAGGTAAAGTTTATTTAAAGGTGAGATTCTGTAGTAGAACCCACATACGTCTAATTAATTAAGACAAATAACCTGTAATCATGATATATCGCTTACATGATCCGACCGATGGATGGACATAGCTAAATCGACATAAATTGGGATTAAGACCAATTGCACCACCAGCAATTATTCGAAATTTTAAAGAAAATAGGGTCTTCCATCTACAATTGGATCAAATTATGGATCGAACAGAAAATAACTAGACAGAACTGGAACAGAAATAGAACAGAACTAGAACAGTACTAGAAGAGAACTAGAAGAGCACTGGAACAGAACTAGAACAAAACTAGAACAGAATTCGAACAGTACTAGAACATAACTAGAACAGAACTAGAACATAACTGGAACAGAACTAGAACAGAACTAGAACAGAACTCGAACAGAACTTGAACAGAACTGGAACAGAACTAGAACAGAACTAGAACAGAACTAGAACAGAACTAGAACAGAACTAGAACAGAACAAGAACAGAACTAGAACTGAACTAGAACTGAACTAGAACAGAACTAGAACAGAACTAGAACAGAACTAGAACAGAACTAGAACAGAACTAGAACAGAACTAGAACAGAACTAGAACAGAACTAGAACAGAACTAGAACAGAACTAGAACAGAACTAGAACAGAACTAGAACAGAACTAGAACAGAACTAGAACAGAACTAGAACAGAACTAGAACAGAACTAGAACAGAAACTAGAACAGAACTAGAACAGAAACAGAACAGAACTAGAACAGAACTAGAACAGAATTAGAACAGAATTAGAACAGAACTAGAACAGAACTAGAACAGAACTAGAACAGAACTAGAACAGAACTAGGACAGAACTAGAACAGAACTAGAACAGAACAGAATAGAATAGAACAGAACTAGAACAGAACAGAACTAGAACAGAACAGAACTAGAACTAGAACTAGAACTAATAGAACTAGAACTAGAACAGAACAGAACAGAACAGAAGAACAGAACAGAACAGAACAGAACAGACAGAACTAGAACAGAACTAGAACAGAACTAGAACAGAACTAGAACAGAACTAGAAACTAGAACAGAACAGAACTAGAACAGAACTAGAACAGAACTAGAACAGAACTAGAACAGAACTAGAACAGAACTAGAACAGAACTAGAACAGAACTAGAACAGAACTAGAACAGAACTAGAACAGAACTAGAACAGAACTAGAACAGAACTAGAACAGAACTAGAACAGAACTAGAACAGAACTAGAACAGAACTAGAACAGAACTAGAACAGAACTAGAACAGAACTAGAACAGAACTAGAACAGAACTAGAACAGAACTAGAACAGAACTAGAACAGAACTAGAACAGAACTAGAACAGAACTAGAACAGAACTAGAACAGAACTAGAACAGAATTAGAACAGAACTAAACCGGAACTGGAACTAGCAAAGGAGTAGAACAGAACTAGAATAGAACAGACATAGAACAGAATTAGAACTGAACTAGAACAGAACTACAGCAGAACTAGAACTGAACAAGAACAGAACTAGAACTGAACTAGAACTGAACTAGAAAAGAACTAGAACAGAACTAGAACAGAACTAGAACAGAACTAGAACAGAACTAGAACTGAACTGGAACTAAACTAGAACTGAACTAGAACTGAACTAGAACTGAACTAGAACTGAACTAGAAATGAACTAGAACTGAACTAGAACTGAACTAGAACTGAACTAGAACTGAACTAGAACTGAACTAGAACTGAACTAGAACTGAACTAGAACTGAACTAGAACTGAACTAGAACAGAACTAGAACAGAACTAGAACAGAACTAGAACAGAACTAGAACAGAACTAGAACAGAACAGAACTAGAACAGAACTAGAACAGAACTAGAACAGAACTAGAAAGAACAGAACAGAACTAGAACAGAACTAGAACAGAATAGAAACAGAATTAGAACAGAACTAGAACAGAACTAGAACAGAACTAGAACAGAACTAGAACAGAACTAGGACCAGAACTAGAACAGAACTAGAACAGAACAGAACAGAACTAGAACAGAACAGAACAGAACTAGAACAGAACAGAACAGAACAGAACTAGAACAGAACAGAACAGAACTAGAACTAGAACAGAACTAGAACAGAACTAGAACTAGAACAGAACTAGAACAGAACTAGAACAGAACTAGAACAGAACTAGAACAGAACTAGAACAGAACTAGAACAGAACTAGAACAGAACTAGAACAGAACTAGAACAGAACTAGAACAGAACTAGAACAGAACTAGAACAGAACTAGAACAGAACTAGAACAGAACTAGAACAGAACTAGAACAGAACTAGAACAGAACTAGAACAGAACTAGAACAGAACTAGAACAGAACTAGAACAGAACTAGAACAGAACTAGAACAGAACTAGAACAGAACTAGAACAGAACTAGAAGAGAACTAGAACAGAACTAGAACAGAATTAGAACAGAACTAAACCGGAACTGGAACTAGCAAAGGAGTAGAACAGAACTAGAATAGAACAGACATAGAACAGAACTATAACCGAACAAGAACAGAACTAGAACTAAACTACAACAGAACTAGAACAGAATTAGAACTGAACTAGAACAGAACTAGAACTGAACAAGAACAGAACTAGAACTGAACTAGAACTGAACTAGAACTGAACTAGAACTGAACTAGAACAGAACTAGAACAGAACTAGAACAGAACTAGAACAGAACTAGAACTGAACTAGAACTAAACTAGAACTGAACTAGAACTGAACTAGAACTGAACTAGAAATGAACTAGAACTGAACTAGAACTGAACTAGAACTGAACTAGAACTGAACTGAACTAGAACTGAACTAGAACTGAACTAGAACTGAACTAGAACTGAACTAGAACAAAAGTATAACAGATCCGGAACGGAAATGGAACAGAACTAGGACAGAACTAAAACAGAACTAGAGCAGAACTAGAATAGAACTAGAACAGATCTAGAACTGAACTACAACAGAACTAGATCGCAACCACAACAAAAATAGAACAGATCTAGAACAAAACTACAACGGTACTATAATTAACATATTTATACGTATTTAAATACTATTCCGAGGGCAATTGTATGGAGGTTAGGTGAAGTCTTGGATCGTTTTCGATATTAAACAAACCTTATCAATAAATAGAGAATGTTGGAGCAAAATGTCAGCCGTTTTGTTCTGTTCTTCGGAGCCTATTCAACAAGCAGTTAGGTGGACAGTTAGAAGGTTATGATGGTTATGTCTAAGAATCTTAAAAAGGTCAGAAATATATAAACTTTTATGTAACTATGATAAATATGTCGATGTGTTATAAACGTGATGACAAAATCCTCCTTTCATCTTTTTTTTATGATTATTAACAAATTAGCTTAGAAAGCAAATATGTTAATCCTGCTTTTTTATTTAGCTGCAAAACTTGTTCTATTAGTTATGTTATATTGGTCAGTTGAGTAGAATGTTATTGTGTTTTTTCTATTATTATTTTGTATTGTGTGTTTTAGTTTTACGATTATAAAGTTATAGACTTAGACAATTTGCATTCTAAGCTAACTTTTAAAAAAGTTTAAATTTTCAATTCTTAGCATAGACATTTGTTGCTAATATAAAATTATTTTTTTTTATTTAACAATTATTTTATTTAACGTTTTAGTTTTTACACTTTTTTTACTTATTAGTTAATAATATTTTAAAATTCGTTTTCTTTTCCAATAAATAATTCTTATATTCATAAAAAAGCACAACTCTGAGAGAGAAAATTTAATATATTATTACACTATTTATGCTATTAATAAATTATTTTTACATTTTTTATTGTAATAATATTATATAAAATGTACAAGTTGTTTTGTTTTTTTTTTTTTTTTTGTGAAAATGTATAATAGATTTTTTTAGGTTTTAAAGATCAGTCTAAATAGAGCAAAAATACATACAAGACATTTGTCCAATTCACAAATGGGTTGTAACGTTGTATTGTTGTATGTCTTACATATTATGGTTGTTTTGTTTCGAAAACAAACCTTTAAAAAAAAACCTATGACATACAACGCTACAATACCAATAGTGAGTAGCACAAATGTTTGGTTTTATGTACAACAAAAAATATTACGTGAATTTCTTTCAATAATAGCCTTATTGTCTTAAATTAAAATGAGATTTACATTGAATCTAGGGTGTGAATAAGTAAGTATTTGTCGACTTAATTTACAAATGACAGGTTACACTTAAAGTTGACAAACAATTGAGATTGACTAGCTTAAAATGAGGTTTATTTTTTCTTCTCTTTTCTTTTGTTGTTGTAATTAAATAGCAATTAATAGCTTAATTAACTTACACATATTCCAGCGGAGTAAAACGCGTTGAACGATATAAAATCACACTAGAACAACGCGCACAATGCTGCTGCTATCATACCTCTGACATGGCATTATGGTTGATGGAATTCGATTTAGGCCTTTCACAAATAATCACACGTGTTGTGCCCTTATTCGAACGTCTGGACACGGTCAAGGAGGTGGTTAAAGTGCGCATTGAATCACAGCTATTGTGTAGGCGACGTCCTACGGTGTTACAACGATTTTGGGTGGAATTATGGCGATAGGATTTGCAACAGCAGGTAAACCACTTGAAGGGAGGAAATCGACTAGAATGTGTGAGAGAAGAAAATTAAATGAAAAACAAAATCTTTTAGCCTTAACTAAGTCATTGTCAATTAAATGTTTTACACTTTAACTTTAACAATTACCTTAATGTTCGAAAAACAGTTGAGGAAAATAGACAATATATCAAAGGATTTGCTGCTGAGTTGAGAGGCGCTAGACTCTGTATAAAAGTAGCTATGGCTATATTAGTTTGTGTTTGTGGTATATGACCAAACACCTGCAACAAATCGAATATAATGTAGGGAGACCAACACACTATGAATACTATTACAATAACAAAGTCATTTTAACAGTTTTTCACTTTAGCTCTTGGTATTATACCCCTCGAACTGGCTCTTCTTGCGGTGGCATTGCTAAAGCCCGCCCTTTCTGCCGGCACAAATATTGAACCTTTAGCCCATATTGTTTTCACTATAATGGCATAACAGGCGGAAATAATAAGGGCGGGAAAGGCAAAGAGTGTGGCCGATACTAGACTCATATAGACTTGCCAAGCCCAGGGTGATCCCAATTCTATCCAACATTGTGTCTGGCCCTGTATAAGTTTCTCTTCGTAGAGCATCAGTATGGGTAGGGAAAATAGGGCGGAGACTATCCAGGCTCCTGCCACCCAGATGACGGGCACGTTTCCCTTAAATAGAAAAATATAAATTTTTGTATTTTTTTTTTTTAACAAATTAATATAATTTTGGGTTTGGTTCTTTCTAGACTATAGACTAGACTATACACTAGACTATAGAGTAGACTATAGACTAGACTATAGGCTAGACTAGACTATAGGCTAGACTATAGATTAGACTATAGACTAGACTATAGACTAGACTATAGACGAGACTATAGGCTAGACTAGACTATAGGCTAGACTATAGATTAGACTATAGACTAGACTATAGACTAGACTATAGACTAGACTATAGACTAGACTATAGACTAGACTATAGACTAGACTATAGACTAGACTATAGACTAGACTATAGACTAGACTATAGACTAGACTATAGACTAGACTATAGACTAGACTATAGACTAGACTATAGACTAGACTATAGACTAGACTATAGACTAGACTATAGACTAGACTATAGACTAGATTAGAGACTAGACTATAGACTAGACTATAGACTAGACTATAGACTAGACTATAGACTAGACTATAGACTAGACTATAGACTAGACTATAGACTAGACTATAGACTAGACTATAGACTAGACTATAGACTAGACTATAGACTAGACTATAGACTAGACTATAGACTAGACTAGACTATAGACTAGACTAGACTATAGACTAGACTATAGACTAGACTATAGACTAGACTATAGACTAGACTATAGACTAGACTAGAGACTAGACTATAGACTAGACTAGAGACTAGACTAGAGACTAACTATAGACTAGACTAGAGACTAGACTATAGACTAGACTATAGACTAGACTATAGACTAGACTATAGACTAGACTATAGACTAGACTATAGACTAGACTATAGACTAGACTATAGACTAGACTATAGACTAGACTATAGACTAGACTATAGACTAGACTATAGACTAGACTATAGACTAGACTATAGACTATAATATAACCATAAATTAATAAACACTTCTGAAATTGAAATATATAAATGTTTATCAAGATAAAATGAAAAATATCAATTGTTTACATGGTGAAAAATATTATGTAAAGAAAGTAAAACAATTCAAATATGGACTGGACTATAGACTAGACTATAAACTAGACTATATAGTAGACTATATAGTAGACTATATACTAGACTATAGACTAGACTATAGACTAGACTATAGACTAGACTATAGACTAAACTAGACTAGACTATGGACTAGACTATAGACTAGACTATAGACTAGACTATAGACTAAACTATAGACTAGACTATGGACTAGACTATAGACTAGACTATGGACTAGACTATAGACTAGACTATAGACTAGACTATAGACTAGACTATAGACTAGACTATAGACTAGACTATAGACTAGACTATAGACTAGACTATAGACTAGACTATAGACTAGACTATAGACTAGACTATAGACTAGACTATAGACTAGACTATAGACTAGACTATAGACTAGACTATAGACTAGACTATAGACTAGACTATAGACTAGACTATAGACTAGACTATAGACTAGACTATAGACTAGAGTATAGACTAGACTATAGACTAGACTATAGACTAGACTATAGACTAGACTATAGACTAGACTATAGACAAGACTATAGACTAGACTATAGACTAAACTATAGACTAGACTATAGACTAGACTAGCAATTGTGTAATCAATGTAAATAATTAGAAAATTACAAAAGAATAAAGCTTTAGGCCAGCAACACCTTCAGATTGAAATAAAATTTCATTAGATGTAAAATTCATGTAAAAACTATACTGTAATATTTACACAGTGTCAACAATGAAATATGTAAGAGTTAAATGGTTGAGTAAGCTTTAGCTTAATAAACGTAAAATGACAAATTTGTAATATTAAAGGTAAAATGAAAAAATCAATTGTTTACATGGTGTCAAAAATCATGTAAAGAATGTAAATAATTGAAATATGGTGTAAATGCTTTAGTATTATATAAGTTATTAGGTTTAAGTTTTAAAAATGACCAATGGGAATTGTTGACATCATGTAAATGATGTGTAACAATGTAAATAACTCTAAAAATTATACTAATTAAAAAATAAATGTTTTTATCAAGGTAAAATGAAGAATATCAACTGTTTACATGATGTAAAAGTTTTCCCATAGTCGTTTAAAAATGTCAATAATGTACATAATGTAAAATATCATGTAAAGAATGTAAACAATTCATATATGGTGTAAATGTGTAATATAAGTTATTAAATTTCAGTTTTACGCAATGACATTTAGAATTGTTGACATCATGTAAATAATGTGTAAAGAATGTAAAAAATTCCAAAAATCCAACAATTTAAAGATAAATATTAATAATGACTTGTTATCTAAATAAAATGAAAAATTTCAATTGTTTACATAGTGTAAAATATCATGTAAAGAATGTAAACAATTCAAATGTGGTATAAACGTGTTAGTATTATGTAGGCTATTAGGTATAAGTTTTATAAATGATAATTTTGAATTGTTGACATCATGTAAATATTTACACTTTATTTACAGGATGTGAATATAAACAATACAAAAATTTAAAGATAAATATTAATAATGATCTCTTATCTAGATAAAATGAAAAATTGCAACTGTTTACAAAATGTAAAAAATAAATGTATTTTATTCCTATTTTATAGACTTTAGTCAAACATTTCATTATAATTTACTTCATGTAAAGTGTGTGTAAATAATTTTGTATACATTATTTATAGCAAATAAAAATTCTCTTTATCCTATTACGTTTTACATGTAAATTTATTTGGGACTTTTTTTTAAATTATTACCAACAATTAGCATAAACAATAAATCTCTCTCTATCTCCTGCCGCAAATTACATTTATTTAATTGCCAACCATTATCATGTTAATAAAATTTTAAAAACTCCGTTTTAAAATTAAATTGCTTATAATTAACATTTATATGTGCGGCTTTTAAAAACCAACCTAACCAACATATACCCTTATTTAAATAACAATTAAATTCTGATTGTCCCTTTATTATTCATATACTTACATGATTTCGAAAAATTCATGGGATGTGTAATGGCATCATATCTATCAATGCTCATGGCTACCAGAACATACGTCGATGAATATGTAACACAAACTTGAGAGAAACGTATTAATTTACACGCCACATTACCGGCTCGCCAGGATATCGTTATGCGCCAAATGATGTCAGTTAAAACATTTAGTAAACCAACACAAAGATCTAAAGACAATACAAAAGAGCAATGTATAAAATATTATTATGTATGTATAAGATAGAATGTGATATAAATCATATTTTTCCTTAAGTATGTGTTTTAATATAAAAAAAAATACAAAAGAAATCTTTGAATATCCTTATATAAATATAAACAGGGTTTCACAGACAAGTTTTGCAGTTTCCTTAGGAACGAAAATAATTTTGGTTGCTTTGGGTTACCTAAACAAATGGGAAGTTAAGTAGACATACACCTTAGCACGTGTATGTTCTTCACATACCGACAAGAACAAATGTTGCCAATAGAAATATACACATTGGTTTAGGATAAGATCCATGGTCACCACAAAGAAACATGTAGGTGCCTCTGACACATGTAAATAATGAACAAGTTTTTAAATGTGTAAAAATTTAAATAACTAAAGCATAGTGTCCATGTGCTAGTTATTAGTTGACATTATGTAAACAATGTGTAAAGATGTAAATAATGCAACAAATTAAAGATCAACAGTGTTAATGACCCCGCATTTCGGTAAAATGTAAAAAAAAAATCAGTTTAGTCTATAGTCTAGACTTGACTATAGACTAGACTATAGATACTAGACAATAGACTAAACTAAAGTCTAGACTATAGACGATATCATAGACTAGACTATAGACGACACTATAGACTAGACAATAGACTAGACTTTAGACTAGACTATAGACTAGACTAAAGACTAGACTATAGACTAGACTATAGACTAGACTATAGACTACACTAAAGACTAGACTATAGACTAGACTATAGACTAGACTATAGACTAGACTATAGACTAGACTATAGACTAGACTATAGACTAGACTATAGACTAGACTATAGACTACACTATAGACTACACTAAAGACTAGACTATAGACTAGACTATAGACTAGACTATAGACTAGACTATAGACTAGACTATAGACTAGACTATAGACTAGACTATAGACTAGACTATAGACTAGACTATAGACTAGACTATAGACTAGACTATAGACTATAGACTAGACTATAGACTAGACTATAGACTACACTAAAGACTAGACTATAGACTAGACTATAGACTAGACTATAGACTAGGCTATAGACTAGACTATAGACTAGACTATAGACTAGACTATAGACTAGACTATGGACTAGACTATAGACTAGACTATAGACTAGACTATGGACTAGACTATAGACTAGACTATAGACTAGACTATAGACTAGACTATAGACTAGACTATAGACTAGACTATAGACTAGACTAGACTAGACTATAGACTAGACTATAGACTAGACTATAGACTAGACTATAGACTAGACTATAGACTAGACTATAGACTAGACTATAGACTAGACTATAGACTAGACTATAGACTAGACTATAGACTAGACTATAGACTAGACTATAGACTAGACTATAGACTAGACTATAGACTAGACTATAGATTAGACTATAGACTAGACTATGGACTAGACTATAGACTAGACTATGGACTAGACTATGGACTAGACTATAGACTAGACTATGGACTAGACTATAGACTAGACTATAGACTAGACTATAGACTAGACTATAGACTAGACTATAGACTAGACTATAGACTAGACTATAGACTAGACTATAGACTAGACTATAGACTAGACTATAGACTATAGACTAGACTATAGACTAGACTATAGACTACACTAAAGACTAGACTATAGACTAGACTATAGACTAGACTATAGACTAGGCTATAGACTAGACTATAGACTAGACTATAGACTAGACTATAGACTAGACTATGGACTAGACTATAGACTAGACTATAGACTAGACTATGGACTAGACTATAGACTAGACTATAGACTAGACTATAGACTAGACTATAGACTAGACTATAGACTAGACTATAGACTAGACTATAGACTAGACTATAGACTAGACTATAGACTAGACTATAGACTAGACTATAGACTAGACTATAGACTAGACTATAGACTAGACTATAGACTAGACTATAGACTAGACTATAGACTAGACTATAGACTAGACTATAGACTAGACTATAGACTAGACTATAGACTAGACTATAGACTAGACTATAGATTAGACTAGACTAGACTATGGACTAGACTATAGACTAGACTATGGACTAGACTATGGACTAGACTATAGACTAGACTATAGACTAGACTATAGACTAGACTATAGACTAGACTATAGACTAGACTATAGACTAGACTATAGACTAGACTATAGACTAGACTATAGACTAGACTATAGACTAGACTATAGACTAGACTATAGACTAGACTATAGACTAAACTATAGAGTAGACTATAGAGTAGACTATAGAGTAGACTATAGAGTAGACTATAGACTAGACTATAGACTAGACTATAGACTAAACTATAGACTAGACTATAGACTAGACTATAGATTAGACTATAGACTAGACTATAGACTAGACTATAGACTAGACTATAGACTAGACTATAGACTAGACTATAGATTAGACTATAGACTAGACTATAGACTAGACTATAGACTAGACTATAGACTAGACTATAGACTAGACTATAGACTAGACTATAGACTAGACTATAGACTAAATTATAGAGTAGACTATAGAGTAGACTATAGAGTAGACTATAGAGTAGACTATAGAGTAGACTATAGAGTAGACTATAGACTAGACTATAGACTAAACTATAGACTAGACTATAGACTAGACTATAGATTAGACTATAGACTAGACTATAGACTAGACTATAGACTAGACTATAGACTAGACTATAGACTAGACTATAGACTAGACTATAGATTAGACTATAGACTAAACTATAGACTAGACTATAGATTAGACTATAGACTAGACTATAGACTAGACTATAGACTAGACTATAGACTAGACTATAGACTAGACTATAAACTAGACTATAGACTAGACTATAGATTAGACTATAGACTAGACTATGGACTAGACTATAGACTAGACTATAGACTAGACTATAGACTAGACTATGGACTAGACTATAGACTAGACTATGGACTAGACTATAGACTAGACTATAGACTAGACTATAGACTAGATTATAGACTAGATTATAGATTAGACTATAGACTAGACTATAGACTAAACTATAGAGTAGACTATAGATTAGACTATAGACTAGACTATGGACTAGACTATAGACTAGACTATAGATTAGACTATGGACTAGACTATAGACTATACTATAGACTAGACTATAGACTAGACTATAGACTAGACCATAGACTAGACTATAGACTAGACTATAAACTAGACTATAGACTAGACTATAGACTAGACTATAGACTAGACTATAGACTAGACTATAGACTAGACTATAGACTGGATTATAGACTGGATTATAGACTGGATTATAGACTAGACTATAGACTAGACTATAGACTAGACTATAGACTAGACTGTAGACTAGAATATAGACTAGACTATAGACTAGACTATAGACTAGACTATAGACTAGACTATGGACTAGACTATAGACTAGACTATGGACTAGACTATAGACTAGACTATGGACTAGACTATAGACTAGACTATAGACTAGACTATGGACTAGACTATAGACTAGACTATAGACTAGACTATGGACTAGACTATAGACTAGACTATGGACTAGACTATAGACTAGACTATAGACTAGACTATAGACTAGACTATAGACTAGACTAGGGACTAGACTATAGACTAGACTATAGACTAGACTATAGACTAGACTATAGACTAGACTAGGGACTAGACTATAGACTAGACTATAGACTAGACTATAGACTAGACTATAGACTAGACTATAGACTTGACTATAGACTAGACTATAGACTAGACTATAGACTAGACTATAGACTAGACTATAGACTAGACTACAGGCTAGACTATAGACTAGACTATAGACTAGACTATAGACTAGACTATAGACTAGACTATAGACTAGACTATAGACTAGACTATAGACTAGACTATAGACTAGACTATAGACTAGACTATAGACTAGACTATAGACTAGACTAGACTATAGACTAGACTATAGACTAGACTATAGACTAGACTATAGACTAGACTATAGACTAGACTATAGACTAGACTATAGACTAGACTATAGACTAGACTATAGACTACACTAAAGACTAGACTATAGACTAGACTATAGACTAGACTATAGACTAGACTATAGACTAGACTATAGACTACACTAAAGACTAGACTATAGACTAGACTATAGACTAGACTATAGACTAGACTATAGACTAGACTATAGACTAGACTATAGACTAGACTATAGACTAGACTATAGACTAGACTATAGACTAGACTATAGACTAGACTATAGACTAGACCATAGACTAGACTATAGACTAGACTATAGACTAGACTATAGACTAGACTATAGACTAGACTATAGACTAGACTATAGACTAGACTGTAGACTAGACTAGACTATAGACTAGACTATAGACTAGACTAGACTAGACTAGACTATAGACTAGACTAGACTATAGACTAGACTATAGACTAGACTATAGACTAGACTATAGACTAGACTATAGACTAGACTATAGACTACACTAAAGACTAGACTATAGACTAGACTATAGACTAGACTATAGACTAGACTATAGACTAGACTATAGACTAGACTATAGACTAGACTATAGACTAGACTATAGACTAGACTATAGACTAGACTATAGACTAGACTATAGACTAGACTATAGACTAGACTATAGACTAGACTATAGACTAGACTATAGACTAGACTATAGACTAGACTATAGACTAGACTATAGACTAGACTATAGACTAGACTATAGACTAGACTATAGACTAGACTATAGACTAGACTATAGACTAGACTATAGACTAGACTATAGACTAGACTATAGACTAGACTATAGACTAGACTATAGACTAGACTATAGACTAGACTATAGACTAGACTATAGACTAGACTATAGACTACACTAAAGACTAGACTATAGACTAGACTATAGACTAGACTATAGACTAGACTATAGACTAGACTATAGACTAGACTATAGACTAGACTATAGACTAGGCTATAGACTAGACTATAGACTAGACTATAGACTAGACTATAGACTAGACTATAGACTAGACTATAGACTAGACTATAGACTAGACTATAGACTAGACTATAGACTAGACTATAGACTAGACTATAGACTAGACTATAGACTAGACTATAGACTAGCCTATAGACTAGACTATAGACTAGACTATAGACTAGACTATAGACTAGACTATAGACTAGACTATAGACTAGACTATAGACTAGACTATAGACTAGACTATAGACTAGACTATAGACTAGACTATAGACTAGACTATAGACTAGACTATAGACTAGACTATAGACTAGACTATAGACTAGACTATAGACTAGACTATAGACTAGACTATAGACTAGACTATAGACTAGACTATAGACTAGACTATAGACTAGACTATAGACTAGACTATAGACTAGACTATAGACTAGACTATAGACTAGACTATAGACTAGACTATAGACTAGACTATAGACTAGACTATAGACTAGACTATAGACTAGACTATAGACTAGACTATAGACTAGACTACAGACTAGACTATGGACGAGACTATGGACTAGACTATAGACTAGACTATAGGCTAGACTATGGACTAGACTAGACTATAGACTAGACTATGGACGAAACTATGGACTATATTATATGCTAGACTATAGACTACACTATAGACTAGACTATAGACTAGACTATAGACTAGACTATAGACTAGACTATAAACTAGACTATAGACTAGACTATAGACTACGCTATAGAATAGACTATAGACTGCACTGTAGACTAGACTAGACTAGATATACTAATCTATAGACTAGACTACTTATCAAAAGTTTAAAAGTTAAAAAAAGTACCGAAAATGTCGTGGGGGTGCCGCGATATTTTTCGATATCAAAAAGTACTGGAAAAAGTACTAAGCACTGAGTTTTTCATGCCTGGTGTAGAGTATGAAATAATAAAAAACACATGCACAGACAAAATAGTATGTAAAGACTCAAACTGAATGGCTGTTTATATATTTATATTTGTTTGTTAAAATTCCAGATTTTTTTTACTTTGGCTTGTAGGTTGGATAGGGAAGTCCTCTTAAGATAAAAATAAAACAAATTTAAATTTAATTTATTTTGAAACTCTAGAAAATACTATTTTATAAGGTCAAAAGACACAGAAAGGCAAAACAATATGATATGATATTGTAAAGTACAGAAATAGACATTTTAAAAATATTTTTCATACCTAATTTAATTTGTTACAAATTAAATGCACAATTTACAGTTGTTTTTAGCAAAAAGAAATTTAACCAAAAATATATTTTCCATTCATTTAAAGTTTTATACCAAGTTCAGCATAGATTTATTTTTTTGTATGTATTGATTTTCATATGTAAATATAATGAAATCAAAATAAATATCTAAGTATGTGTGAAATTTATATGTATAAATATTAACACGTACCTGCCAATGCCAATTGTTTAATAAAATAATTCATTCGTGATTTTCGATTTTTATTCAAAAACATTACAAACAATACCGCTGAATTGCCCAAAACAATTATTGTGAATAGAATCCAAAACAGCAAATTGTTCCGTCTGCAAATAAATAGAAAAGAAGTTGAAATAAATATCGTATCATAAAATCACGTTATTATCGTAATTTGTGTAAAAATAAATAACATAGAAAATATTTCATATTATTATTCAATTGAGCAAATATGTTAAAGAGAAAGTGTCAGGTTTTGGTTTCTATAGGTAATCGAATAATAATGTAAATAAATATATGGAAATTACAGATAAAATATTCTATTATTCTTCTTATGTAAATTAACAGTTTAGTGAATGTCAAAAGAAAATTACAACAAAGAAATTTTCGAACACATGATCTTTTAAGTGTGATCGATTTTCAAAAGTAGTGTAAAAAATTTTTATAAAATTTTTTTTAATAGACGAAATATTTCCAAGCTGTTTTTAGATTCTAAGACAATCACGACGTCTTCCTATGTCTGTCTGTCCACCTGTTTACAGTTTATTTGCTTGTCTGTCTGTCTTCATTAAGTCCAAACGAAAAAATCTGAATGATTCCGTCTGATTTAAAGTGTTGATCTTAATACATTTCTTAATTTTTTTTTCTCCCATTTTGCCAAATTTAATTAAGCTTAAATTATTTCCCTTTTGTCTTACATTCTTCTTCTTTATTCCCCTTATACGTTAAGGTGTTGAACAATACATTCACATTCGCTTGGTATTAAGTAATTACGTTTTTGTTCATTAACTTAACTACAAAATCCAATTAGAAACAGTGATTTTGATGAACTTACAACGAATGCCAAAAGTAAGTGTACGAACTATTTAATTATATTTGTGTGGCATATTACACGAAACATAGGGTTCAAAATTTTTCAAAAAGGAAAATTGTTGAATAGAATTTCGCCTTTATATGCACTAGTTTATAAACTTATCTTTTGACTGGTCCATTAATGGGTCTATGGAATAGTCAATTAATTACAATAGTTTATATTGAGTAACCTATGAAGTAGTCTGTGGGATAGTGTATGGAGAAGTCTATGGCCTGGCCTATGGTATAGCCTATGGACTAGTTTATGTACTAGTCTATGGAGTAGTCTACGAGTAGTCTATGAACTAACATATGGACTAGCGTATGGACTAGCTTACGGACGAGCTTATGGACTATTCAGTGAACTAGTCTATGGACTAGTCAATGGTCTAGCCTATGGACTATTCTGTGGACTAATCTATGAACTAGCCTATGAACTAGTCTATGGACTAGCCTATGTACAAGTCAATGGACTAGCCTATGGACTAGTCTATGGAATAATCTATGGACTAATTTATGGACCAGTCTATAGGCTCTAGGTCTATGATCTAGTCTATGGACTAGTCTATGAACTATTCTCTGAACCAGTCTATAGTCTAGTCTAGCTTATCGGCTATTCTGTGGAATATTCTATGGTATAGTTTATGGACTATTCTATGGAGTAGTCTGTGGATACATATGGACTAGCGTATGGACTAGCTTATGGACTATTCAGTAAACTAGTCTATGGAATAGTCTATAAACTAGCCTATGGAATATTCTGTGGACTCGTCTATGAACTAGTCTATGGACTAGCCTATGTACAAGTCTATGGACTAATCTATGAACTAATCTATGGACTAATTTATGGACTAGTCTATAGACTAGTCCATGATCTAGTCTGTGGACTAGTCTATGCACTAGTCTATGGACCAGTCTATAGTCTAGTCTAGCTTATGGACTATTCTGTGGACTAGTCTATGAACTAGTCTATGGACTAGTCAACGGACTGGTCTATGAACTAGTCTATGGACTAGCCTATGGACTAGTCTACGTACTAGCCTATGGTCTATCCTATGGACTAGCTTATGGACTAGCCTATGAACTAGTCAATAGAGTAGCCTATGAACTAGTCTATGGACTAGCCTATGTACTAGTCTATGGACTAGCTTATGAACTAGTCTATGGACTAGACTATTTACTAGTCTATGGACTATGCATATGACTAGCACTAGTCTATTGAACTATTGTCTTGTCTCTGAAATAGACCATTCATTTCTCTACTGACTGGTGTATTGTCTAGTCTGTGAATTAGTTTCTGGATTAGTCTATGAATTAGTTTCTGGATTAGTCTATAGACTAGTCCATAGACTTAACAACAGACTCGTTTATGGAATAGTTAAAGGACTTGTCTACGGACTTCTCTATTCCTGACCTAACTAGTACATATATGAATTAGTCTATTGACTAGTCTGAGAACTTCTCCATTGGCTAGTCTATAAAGTAGTTTGTGGATTAATCTACAGGTTCGTCCATATACTTAGCAATTGACTAGTCTATGGAATAGTTTTAGGACTTGTCTACGGAATAGTCATTGGATTAGCATATTTTATAGTCTATTAACCGGTCTATGGACTAGTCCATTGACCAGTGTATTAATTAGTCTATTTACAAGCCTAATGACTAGGTTATTGTTTAGTGTATAGATAAGTGTTTGTTGTAGCCTATGGAGTAGTCTGTTAGTTTTTTTTTGAGTTGTCTACTGACTGTTCTATGGAGTAGTAGCCAATAGACTACTTTATATGGACAAGTCTACAGACTGATACTTATCTATTCACTGGTCGTTGAACTAGTTTATTGTGTGGTCTGTGGACTAGTCTATTGAATAGCTTATAGACACTCCTTCTATGAACTAGTACAACGACTAATCAATATACTAGTCTATAGACTGGTCAATAAACTAAGCAATGGATTCCTTTATAGACTAGTCTTTCAAATAGTTAAAGGATTTGTCTATGGACTAGACTATTAAATAGCCTATAAGCTAGTCTATTACCAAATTATCCATCTCTGATAACGAATACGGAGAAAAATTTTCTTTTGTATTTATTTTTACGTTATAAAATATTTGAATGTTTCTTTAAAAATCAAAACCCCTACTGTGCCATGTCATAGATACCAAGCTGTCACATGACAAGGATTTAATTCCTAGAAATTGTACTTGAATGTAAAATTTTAACAATAAAAAACATTTCCATTATTTTACTAAAGACTTGTATCAATTCTTGTTGCATATTTATAAGCTGGTAAATATTTGTCAAGTGTTTTTGAAAATGAAAAAAAAGCAAGTAAGAAACTTAAATTTGGCATGTCCAAACTTTTGATACTTTACATCGAGGGGTCCAGTATGAGGATCTAAGATGGAAGCTACGTACTTTAATAGGTTGTTTCCTAAAGATATATATACAGTGGGCCTATGTGACCTTAGATCAGTTATGGAGAGCTCTTAAGACGGATTATATAGCATTACACCTAAGCTATTTATTATATTTCTATAAAAATTGTTGTTACAAGTATTAATACCATTATAATGTAGTACTGTAGGGTATATTACAAACAACTTTTTTCCAACAATATACACCAGACTGTATGTCTAGTTTAATGTGGCCCAGATTTCTTTCTGTCATAGTTTTTTTTTTACCAAAATCTATATTGGCATGAGATGAACCACAGATTTTTGTAATTAAGACAAAATTTATATTATCACCCTTGTAAACATAGTTGCTTTATAACTAATTTAGTTTTTTTTTTCTTTCATCATCTTTTTTTGCACACAAGCAGACACAAAAACTTCTAATAAATGCAACAAAGAAAAACAAGAATAAAAAGAATGCAAGAAGAAAAAATTAAATAAATAACATTAGCAAATTACTTAAACAGCGTGTCTCAATTTTCTCTCAAGATTGAAAGCAGCAAAAGAGAAAATGGCGGGAGAATGATAAAATGTCCAAACAACGGAAGCGGAAGGAAATTGAAACGGAATAAATAGTTTCTTTTTTGCTGTTGTCTTGTTATAAGTAGTCGTGCGTAAAAGTTTATTTGTTTTATTGTTTCTTTTTTTTTCTGACATTGTCAAGAGATTGCAATTTTATTTATAAAATTTTTCTTTTTAAAGTTGTATTTTTTTGCTTATTTTGTTAAGTTTAAGTTTGTGACATTTTCGCATTTTTTAATATTGTAAATGTTGATATTTCTTTTTGGCGATTTATTAATAATGTGAAATATTTTTATGAAAATGAAAAGTTTTTTTTTATAATTTTTATTAAAAAACAGCTGGAAAAAATGTCTGCAGAAAGTGGATTTTTTCCAGCGCGTTTAAGAAATATTGTGGAGTCTAAAGATTTTATTATATTAATTGATTTCGTAGAAAAAACGAAATCATTTGGAAGGTATAAAATTAAAGTTACAGTTAAAGAGCAGATAGTAAACTTTTGTAAAAAAACTTAATTTACAATATAAAAGATAGTTAAAACTGGAATAGTCAGCATAATAATCAATACAATAGTCAATAAAGCAGTCAATGGACTAGTCAATAGAATCGTCCATAGACTAGTCATAGAATCGTCAATAGAGCAGTTAACAAACTAGTCAATAGTATAGTCCCTAGACTATTCAATATAATAGCCAATAGACAAGTTAATAGAATAGCCAATAGACAAGTCAACAGAATAGTCAATAGAACAGTCCATGTACTAGTTAATAGATTAGTCAATAGAATAGTCTATAGATAGCAAAAAGATTAGTCAAAAGAATAGTAATTAGACTAGATAATAGAATAGTTCATATACTAGTCAATAGAATAGCCAATAGAATAGTCCATATATTGCAAATATATTAGTCCAAAAAATAGTCAAAAGAATAGTCACTAGACTAGAACAGAATAGTCCATAGACTAGTCAATAGAATAGTCTATAACATAGTCAATAAAATAGCCAATAGACTAGTCAATAGAATAGTCTATAGCATAGTCAATAGAATAGTCTATAGCATAGTCAATAAAATAGTCAATAGAGCAGTCAATTGGCTAGTCAATAGACTAATCATTAAATAGTCAATATAATAGAGCAGTTAATAGAGCATTCAATTGATAGTCCATAGACTAGTCAATGGAATATTCAGAATAATCCATAGACTAGTCAATATAATAGTCCATAGAATAACCAATACAATAGTCCGCAGATAAGTCAATAGACTAGTCAATAGAATA